ATTTTTTTGAAATGAGGACCTCCTCAGTAAGGCTTGAACAGTCCCTGTACACCCAGATTGTACCGCATGGATTAATTAAAACCTTTTCCCGTAACTCACGATGGTCGGTGGGCACAATGACCAATTCCTCCAAGTGTTGTGGGGCGGCAAAAAAATATGACCCAGACACATGGTGGCGCCCCGAGTTTGTTGTTGGGACTTGGTTGGTCGATGCTCACTTGGTGAACTGCCTTTCTTGCCAAACACTTGAGCTCCAGTCGACCACGGCATCCTTTAAGGAAGGTCCCCTGAACATTTAGATCGACCACATCACTTAAAAGAGTCTGCTAGAGCTCTCTGAGTTTGGCGCCCCCCCCAACAAAAATCGCACAAAATTGGGAAGACTGATATGTGAGGTAGCATCGGAGCAAAAAGCTATCCGAATTGAACCAACATTGAGGAGGTAAACGGATACTATGAATGCAGTGCCTTAGCTGGAGCTTTGATAGTGCTATAGAGGCAGGCTGCCACGAGAGGGGGAGGGCCGGTTGATGGGGGTGGTATTTAATGTTGTGTGAAAAAGTGAGTTGAGGTGTGGCCAGCGGGGAGAAGGTGGTGGAGGAGAGTGGAGTGGAGTGGAGTGATGAGGTAAGATGAGATAGTAAAGTAATGTTTAGCCCGAACTGGGAACGGAGCTCTAAAGCCTAATGGAGGTGGCAGTGGATTTGGTGAAGGGGGGCACGTGGCCGAGAGAAAGGGCCGAAGGATTGGCAAAGTGATGTGCTCCGTCGCAAAGTTATATTTGATGGCGCTGGTGGGGTATATAGGAGAACGCGCTTTTGTGGGAACATAACTTATTCGAATTTCACAACACTTCGTACGAATCTCTCTCGTTAAATCTCTCTACATTCAACATGTCTGGACGCGGTAAAGGAGGAAAAGGATTGGGAAAGGGAGGTGCCAAGCGTCATCGAAAGATCTTACGTGATAACATCCAGGGTATCACCAAGCCCGCCATCAGACGTCTTGCACGACGAGGTGGAGTCAAGAGGATCAGTGGACTGATCTACGAAGAGACCAGGGGAGTCCTGAAGGTCTTCCTGGAGAACGTGATCCGTGATGCAGTTACCTACTGCGAGCACGCCAAGCGAAAGACCGTCACCGCCATGGACGTTGTCTACGCTCTGAAGCGACAAGGTCGTACCCTGTACGGTTTCGGAGGATAAGCAGCCTGCTGCTTTCCACCTACCTGATCTCGAGCTTGCTCGATTTCAAACAACGGCTTTTCTCAAAGCCCCACAAAAATCAAAAAAGAAAACCTGTCTAACTGTATTACAGTACAACAATATTATTCAAATTGTTCAAGCTGGATATTTGTCCTCCCAATTTAATCAACCAAGTTTTGAGTATACTTTTTACTAAATTACAGAATCAAATCCAAAACACACACATTCTTCTTACTCAATAGCCATACGACACGTCTTTTCGTGTTTATGTCCAGGACAAGAGTTATTTCAATTTTATATGGCAAATTATCGGAAAACAACTGCATATAAGGCCAAGGGGTGCACATTGTTTGTCAGCTCCATATAGAGCCGAATAAACGGAAACAATTAATAGAACGTGAAATTACTACCAGTCGGGCCTGGACCCTTTTAATTTAGTATTAGTGCGACCACAATAACGGCAGTCTGGAAGGAGGGGCTGGCAAAAGACAGGTAAACATTTGTTTACAAAAAGGAAGCTACTTTTGCCTTGGGATCAGGGTAACAGCTGAGGTGAGGGTTAGAATTAAATAAATAAGACCAGGGTGCACTAATTTGTTTTGGAATTAGGATTTTGAGCGGCACTGTCTCCCTTAGGCTTAGAGTTAGCGAGACAGGTTGAAGCCGTCCCATGCTGCCTGCCCAACTAAACATGACTTATTTCAAAATTTTCGTGCCGTGTCTGGTTTTTTAAATCGGGGACAACCATAGGGTGAAAAAGGTGTCCAGTAAGGAGCTAATCTGATCGTGCTAATAAAGTCAAATAGTTTGGTCTTGTAAGGATCTCGAGGGCCTGCCCCTGCTGGTTTGTTGGGTTATCCAAAGTTGCTAAAATCTATCCGACTGGTTTCCTTGAGGACCAATCAGAAGGCTCGCTCGTTCTCCAATTGGGCCAATCAGAACGCAGTATTTCTGGCGGGCTCTCATCCGACCTCAACTTGAATGCGGGCATCTGATTGGCTGTTGGGTCTGTGACGTCACGATAACCAAGTATATATACGGTGCACACTTTTCTTGGACAACTTCATTCATTCGAATACGTATCGTAGCGAACAGTACAGAAAATCTTACTCTAACGAAATGGCTCGAACCAAGCAGACCGCCCGTAAATCCACTGGAGGAAAAGCCCCCCGAAAACAGCTGGCAACCAAGGCCGCCCGTAAGAGCGCCCCTGCCACCGGAGGAGTCAAGAAACCTCACCGATACAGGCCCGGAACAGTCGCCCTCCGAGAGATCCGTCGTTACCAAAAATCGACCGAGCTCCTCCTGAGGAAACTCCCCTTCCAGAGACTGGTCCGTGAGATCGCTCAGGACTTCAAGACCGACCTCCGATTCCAGAGCACATCAGTGATGGCTCTTCAGGAGGCCAGCGAGGCTTACCTCGTTGGACTGTTCGAGGATACCAACCTTTGCGCCATCCACGCTAAGCGTGTGACCATCATGCCAAAGGACATCCAGCTCGCTCGCCGTATCCGCGGAGAGAGGGCATAAGCTACCTGTCGAACTACACTCGGCACAAGCTAAAAACGGCGTTTATCAGCGCCACTCCACATATCAATAAAGAAAACACTCCAATCGTTACTTAGTTTTATTACACATATATCTTCCACAGCCACTGGCTGAACAAACAAACTGACACCATCAGCTCCATGACCCACTTAAAATGCAAACAAAGTCACAACTGTGCACTGTGCAGTTAGTCGAATCTTAAATTGTAAATGAAATCAAACAGACCTGCTAGTAGTATAGAGCAGAGGTTGCAAAGCATTCATATGCTATCCTCTCTTGAGCCATCGTTAAAATTGTTAGCCACTCTGAAGGACACTTCCGTCCAAGTGTGTATTTTAAAGAAAAACATGTGCTTATTTAGGGTCTTCTTTTCCTGTGACTGTGAGAGATATGTTAGGCGTGGGGGCCGATTATTTTGTGTAACTGAAATGATGCAGCTTAAAAGTGAGCTTAGAAGGAAAGGGATCATGTGTGAATATTGTTCATTGACCCCGGCTGACAGTAAGTAGAACTGAATACATGGTCTTCAAAACCTACATCTGAGTAGGTGGATTGAAAGAATATGTTGGAATTGTACGAAGGTAGTTTTCTTTTTTGATATGTGGAGTGGCGCTGATAAACGCCGTTTCATTCCAGTCCTTCATAGTGCCTGTTGAGCTCGGGACGAGCGACTTACGGTGTTTTTAAAGTTAAATTTAAAATTTTAACTTCCGTGCCGCGCACGATCCGACCTGACTGTCTGAATCGAGCGCTAACTCATATTTAGGTTGTGATCCGAGAATGGGATCCTCAGTTTTAGAGCCACCGATTGGCGGCGACTTACATGAGACGATAGGTATATCGTCGTTATATTTTAGCGAAACATCAGGAGATGCACCTTGCATGGTCTCGGGGCTAGCCAGGACAGTGGTGGGGTGGAATCCCATTGAGTTGTGGGCTTCTGCTTCGCCGCCGAATCGGTGGGCCCGCCAGAGATGGGTCAAGTGACAGATTCTGAAATGTTTGGCTTTCACTCATTTCGTAATTCCCAGGAATAATGATAGACGAAATGTCAGAAGTAGTAGCTCCCCCGAACTGGGATCATTTGATCCGACCGATAGCGGAGCCATCTATTAGACCAGTCCCCGAAGGATTCAAGACTTATGTAAACACCTTCATTCCAAAATCCCAATTAGAGGATATGTTCGTTAACTCAAGCCTTAACCATCCAGAGTTTACGACTAACCGGTTCAAGAGTCCAGAACTGGACATCCATTGGGCTAAACCACCTGGACAAACTGGTGAAACCTGTACGTTGATCCAGAGTGCTTACGATAGAGCGGGCTTCGCTTGTGAAGCGTATTTCGGGTTACTGGCATTGTTAGACAACCCTAGTCAGGAAGCACAACAAGAGAGAGCTAAACTAACTCAGCTTTTGGGGGTCGGCCTAGGACAGACACTTGCCCAGCTACTACACGTCAGAAGAATTCTGACTCTCAGATATAACCTACCAGCGAGATCCGCCACGACAGCAGAGACCCTCCTCAAGGGGGCATATTCAGAGAACCTGTTTAACATTGGGGTCAAGGATCAGCAGTACTTATTCGGGGAGAAGTTCATGGACAAGATGAAACCCTTAGCAGCGTCAGCCCCCTCTCAGCAATACCCGCACCCAGTTACCAGGTCAGTTATATCCAGGGAAGAATCCCGGACACTTATAATTCCACAAAGGAAACCATATTCTAGAAACTGGAAACATATTGTTCCGTTTCGCACCAAAAATTAAAATTTTCGGATACGGATCCTCAAAGGAGGACGTATCTAAGACTCTATCTGAGTATAAGGACCCTTGTATAGGGAATCCAGAACCGCCAAAACTGGAGGGTTATATGAACCCGCAGTTGCGGTCACAATACGGAGCCTCAGAAGGAGGGCGTATTTCACAGATCCAATACGGAGCCTCAAAGGAGGGCGTATTTCGGATAAAAACTACTTCCTCTAATAGTAATCCTCAAGTAGTAGCTCTTCGGATAAGAGTCCCTCGAATAATAGCTCCTCGCCCTTTCGTGAGGTGGCCCGACACGGGCCAAAATCTAGTGGCGTGGCAACAGCTGACCACGGACAGAAATATCCTAGAGTGGATATCAGGAATAAAACTGCAGTTCCAATCGGAACCAGTTTACCCCCCGAGGAAGGTAGTGTATCGTCATGCGCAAGGGACGCAGCAGGCGCTAGACCGGCTGGTCCAGGACCTAGTTCACCAAAGCATAGTGGTAGAGTGTTTGGCTCCCAAATGCATATCGGGCTTGTTCACGGTACCAAAACCGAACCAACAGCACAGACTAGTGATAGATTTATCAGGTCTAAACAAGCATTTAGTAAAGAACCATTTCAAGATGAGTTCGCTGACTTCTACGCTAGACATCTTGTCTCCAGGGGATTGGATGACAAAGGTGGACCTGAAAAATGCTTATTACTCGGTCCCAATAGCGGAGGAACACCAACCTTATCTAGCCTTCATATGGAAGGAGAGGGTGTGGATGTTCACAAGGATGTGCTTTGGCATGTCTCCGGCCCCAAGAATCTTTACCAAGGTGTTGAAACCGGTCGCAGCATGGCTTCGCTCGCAAGGAGCAAAGCTAACGATCTACATAGACGACTTCTGGATAGCTCATGCCTCCAGGAAGAGGTGCAGGGAGCTTACCCAAATGCTCATCCAAACCCTGATAAACCTAGGGTTTATGATCAGCTGGAACAAAAGTTCCATAGAACCAGTTCAGGAATTAGTATTCCTGGGAATGGAGATATCATCCGTAGAGATGACAGTGTCATTACCGCCTCAGAAGAGGGACAAAATAATGACGGCCTTAGTAAAAATAGACCGAAACATGACAGCATCATGCTGGCAAGTAGAAAAGCTGGTGGGCAGCTTAGAAGCCATACGACCAGCGTTCTCGATGGCCCCACTTTACTTCAGGGGGTTGCAAAAGTGGATGATAAACCTCAAAAATCGGGTGGGTCATCGATCAACCGAGCCCAGACCGCTACATTCACGAGAGCTGGACGAGGTGAGATTTTGGATAGCCTTGCTGCCAAAACTCAAACCCCAACCCATAATGAGATACCAGGGAACAGCAATGCAACTCCAGACGGATGCATCCAACTCGGGTTGGGGGGTAACACTGGGCCAGGAGGTTGCCTACGGGAGATGGAATCAGCAGGAATCTCAATACCACATAAACGTAAAAGAACTTCTAGCAGTCCTGAAGGGACTGAGGCAGTTCACACCACACCTAACAAAAAAGACAGTGGTAGTGGGTGCAGACAACACGACTTGTCTCTCCTACATTCGGAAAAAAAGGAGGAGCACGCAGCAAAAAGCTGTGCGAGCTAGCGATCCAGATTTGGGAGTTGGCACAGTCCCACCAAATGACCTGGAGACCAGGTTTATTCCGGGAAAGGAAAATATAAGACCAGACCACCTGTCAAGAATCTTCCAGTCAGATCGGACAGAAACAAGGAGTGGTCACTCCAAAGATCACTGTTCAGGGGAATCTCCAAGAAGTGGGGACCTCTAAAGAGGGACATGTTCGCGAGCCATCAAAATGCTCAGCTCCCCACTTACATGACCTGGCACGAACCCCCACTCACAAATGAATGCCTTCCCATCACAAATGGAAGGACGGGGATTACGCGTTCCCACCGTTTTCTCTAGTAGCCAGGGTTCTGCAGAAAATTCAGCTAGACCAGTGTGTAGTAGTATTGATAGCTCCGAATGGCCAACCCAGAACTGGTTCCCATTGCTCAAAAAGCATGACGTTGAGTACCAACCATGGAACTTCACCACATCGCTAGTCCAGGACCCAGCCGGGTCCCCACATCCATTAGGGACTGCGCTGCACCTAGCCGCGTGGCTAGTCACTGGAAAACAATAGAAGGTGAAACCATTTCTGACGGGGTAAAAAACTATATCACTGAGCACTCTCTTACAGAGCTCTCTAAGAGCACTTACACACAAAGGTGGAAACAGTACAGAGATACTGTTATACTGTAGGTATACAACCGGACACGCTTCAGAGAAGTCGGTCGCGGATTATTTGCTGGAGCTAATCAATAGAGGTCACGGTTACTCGTCAGTAACCGGTGCAGTTTACGCTATTTCGTACTATGGGCCGGTAATAGAAGGCACCAAATAGCTCACTTACCTCTAGTTAAGCAGCTCCTTAAATCCCACTATAAGGTAAAACCTCCTCAAGCAAAGTATGTTAATTTCTGGGACCCACGAAAAGTATGGGACTGCTGGGATGTACCTAATGAATCCTTAACGCTAGCGGACCTGGCAAGGAAGACGTTCACCTTGATAAGCTTATCAAAACCGATCCGTTGTATAGAGGTAACTAATCTCCTACTCCCCGATGTAGACTTAGAAAGTCCAGGGGTGGAGAACCTGCAATCACTATCCTTACGTAGAGGTGCATTGCCAAAAACCCAACGGTCAGGTTCAATTGAACCAGTGGTCCTAGTGGCAAAACCACAAGCTGAGAGCAATAGCTGCCCGGTAAAAGCTTGCATTTTGTACATGCAGAAGCTGGCCCCTATAAGAGAGGACAAGCAGTACCTCTTCGTTTCCTCAACAAAACCACACCGGCACATAAGCGATAGTACCGGGAAACACTGGAGATGTTTCTCTCTAAGACGGGCAGGCATTAGTAATAAGGACTACGCCTGGCCAGCACACTCATATAGAGGTGCAGTAGCCAACTATTTGGCAAATACTGTTAAACTTCCTATCAATGAAGTAATGAGATTAGGGGACTGGGGCCAAAATTCTACTAAATGTTTTAAAAAGCATTATTTAAGAAACTAGTAATGAATATATTACACAAGCACTTATCACTCCAGCCTTAATTCTTCAAAAAGGCACTATGAAGGACTGGAATGAAACGGCGAGTTCCCGAAGGCCGAAGGCCGTAGGTAGGAACTCTAGTTTCATGTAAGGAGTGAATAGTGCCTGTTGAGTCCCACCCTCCCACCGCGTACATCACGTTTAATATAAAACATTTCGATGACGTCGTAACTCAAGAGTTACTAA